AATGTTTGGTTCATCATATGATATTATGACCGACATCATTTGCAATTAGGACATGGATATATTAGTTTTATACTTATAATTATTAAAATCTTTAGATTATGCAGTGTTTTCATCATGTTACCATAAAAGGTTAGGCCAAGATTCATGTCACAAATCATTACGCAACTTTAAAACATGATTACTTATGAATTTGATTTCTTCCAAAATTCATGTTCTCTCATTTCTGTTTTAACATGCGGGGAAGGATCTAATCACGTTAATTTATAAGTTGCTCATGACATATCCTCAAACAATAAATTATTATAGTTTTTTTTGAATAAAGATCAATTATTATACTTGTCAACTTCCATTATCCAAAAAGTGAACTATTTCGTTTCATTCACTTTATTTTCTGTTGTTACAATCTTTGTTACACTGCTGCTTTCATAGATGTTGTGAGAGTGGACAAAAACTAAAGAATCTTTAGCCAGCCAATAGACGACATTTTGCTTTGCATCAAAGCTTCTAGCTTATCCTCTTGGGCAGTTGAAATTGCGAAATCTTGAGGGTGTTTTGGTGGATGTGGATACTCGTAGCTAATTAAGATATTGAGCGTGTCTTTCACGTTCATAAGCCTCCCAAGGTTGATGTTGGTACATATGAGCATTATACCAAGTGTTGTTGAAGATTGCTTGATGGTATTCATGGGGCATAAGGCTATAATCTCCACTAGTTTCATGATAGTAAAGACTCGTCATTTTTCTAGAATAAGAATGGTAATGTTCCATGATCCCTGAAACACACAAAATTAAAACAAAAATTAGAAAGAAAGAAAAGAAAGCAAATTTTAGACTTAATTTTTATCACAAATTCGTAGGCCACAAATAAATTCCCGACAACGATGCCAAAAATTTAGTGTGGGTTATGCAAGTTTTAAATTTATAACACTAAAAGAAATTGCAAGTAAAGAGACAAACACATTACTATTAGGCAGGGGCGTGCCTACATGGAAGAATACGAGGCCTTCGCCTCCGGCCTTTTTTATAAAGAAAAATTAACCGGTCTTTTTATATTAAAAAAAAAATTCAAAGCTCTCAATTTAAAAAAAAGTGAATGCTTATAGTTGCCTATTTTGATATTAACGAGTCTTATAACCACCTTCATCTTGTTATAACTTCGGTCATTTATTCCTTATCAAATCATACAACAGTTTTTCCATTGTTTAGTAGCAACAGTGACAATTCACAAGTAAACTTCTTTTATGTAATAATTTTGTTATTATGAATTTTAAAAATGTTTGATTTGGGATTTGGATTACATTAATTAGATAAAAATTGTAAAGTTTTACGCATAATTGATTAGCTTTTGGCATTGAGATTTTGTGATTGTATATTATAGTACTTTTATCAAAAAAGACTTTATACATAACATGATTATCTACGAAAATTATATGTTTTATATAAATCAAAATCCGTTTTTAGTTATGCCTATGGCCTATGTAACCCTAGGAACGGCTCTGGTATTAGGGGTCAATCCACTGGAAATTGTAAAGATGATATATATCATTTGGATTCTAGATCTTATCCAAGTGTTAATTTTTCAACTTTTTTACAGAAAACTAAAATCATTGTCATCCTATCCAAGATGTTATGTAAAGAAAATGTTCTTTGATTACGTTTGGGTACAACGTAAAAACACTAATAATTATATAGTGTGTATAAAGGGTTTTGTGATTACTTAAGCATCACGTCTAGAAACACAAATATTCTGTCCAAAGCATGCCTGTTTCATTACAACCAATTACAGCTTCTTCCCCATATATGTGTACGTGCTTTCGATTTATTTTTCTTTCGAAATATTGACAACATTCTCTTTTATAATCTTTTCAAAATATTACGTTTTTTACGAAATTAAAATTAAAAATCGCATTTTTAACCCTGAAAAAGTCCGGGTCTTCGTGGCCCAATGGTAAAGTCGGGCTCTGGTTGCAAACATAATCCGGGTTCAAACCCTGCTAGAGGAAACTACCTCACGAATTTCTGGACACCCACATGGGTATGGGTCCTTGCTTTCGATCCATTTGAAAACCCGGATGGGAGCCTACCCATGGGTTGCTCTTTCCCCAGGGAATTAGTCTGGGCCTATGTGGGCTTGAGATTACTCCTGAGTT